TCCTTGCCTTCCTACAATCACAGTCGCAATCGCAACGGAACTGAGATCCTACGGCCATCCACGGTTCCGAGCCCGTGAATGAAGTACGAATCTCAGGCTTCTCACCTTCTCGGATTCTTAGATGCTATCTTTCGCGATTCAATCAGCATCATATCCCTATCGCAGCAGTTTGGTATCAGCATCGTGGTATCATATCTATATCGGGTCGTACTCATCAGAATCACTTCAACATCGATGAAGAGCCTGAGGCCGAATCAATGGAGGCTTGAAGTTCCGTTAATGTTCAACAGCAGCTGATGATGAGAAAGCTTCTGTAGCAGGTGAGCACTGCCAGGTGAGCATCGAGCGCAGCTGTTCTGATCTCTCATTCTGCAGCTGTTCGAATTCTGATACTTCGTCCTTCTGTGGTTGTTCTCATCTTCATCTTTCTGAAAGATGAATCAATTGAATCAGAACGTGTCCCGCGTCCTCCGTGCTCAAAATTAAATCAACCCGTGCTGATTCAACGTGCGAACTACTCAACTGATCAGATGCGAACTGTGCCGACGCCGCAGCGGTGGGGGTGTGCGGGGTCCCGTACTCGAGTCTTGGGGCAACGGTGAGAAAATTTCAACCCATGCAAAGTTCAAATTCAGTTCGAGCGTCCCGTTGAAGGCGATTTTTTCTCAGCAATTCTCAGCAGGTAAAATACCATATGCCGAGGACCGAGGTGAGATTTCAATTCACCCAAGTTTAACATCCGAATTCAAGATCACCGCCAACTCCAGCGGGACGACTTCTCCCGGGCCCGCAGTAACTTGTATCCCGTCTACCGTCTACCGTCACTCTTCTCGCTGTGGTATCTATTACTGTATCCATACTTACCTGTAACCTGCCAGTGTAACCTGGGCGAGTAACGTACCCAAAGCTGTAACCTGTTCAAGTTGCCCGTAGATATAGATATCGTAGTCTAAGAATGTCTACTTACAGTCCGAGGAGTCCACGCCGCCGGAATAACGTCAGGTCAACCCCCTTCTCGAGTCATTTCGAGTCCGAGTCGAGTATTGAGTCAACGGAACTGCAACTGCAATGTTAATAGATATACCTCGCCCTCATATGCATATCAGTGCCAAGTCTACAGCACTCACAATTCATCACCGGGCGTCCGATTCGCAGCTACTCAGTTTGACTACGCCGGCGCCGTTGAAGGATGGATATTCTTGGGCATGCCATTCGATTCCGAGGACGTACCACGGACTAATTCATTCGCAGTTGACTGGGAGGCGTAACTTGAACGTTGTCCGGGTTGTAGTTGAACCGCGACCGTGCAGCCAAGCAATACCAGAGTCTTTCCTTGCCTTGTATTGCCTCTGACTCGGACTACATCCGTAGACACGATCACCTTGCGCTGAAATCCACTCGAATTCCAAATTTTAATTTGTCACCACACTGCCCGAGATGACCGGAATTCAACATTCAACCTAACTGCTACCTCCTCGCGATCCTAGACGTCTCAAAAACGTCGGGAAAAGGCAAAATAGAGTGTATGCATATAGATGTAGGACTCACGAAACCGACCCCAATTCGCCGCCACATCGCAGTACAGAGGCGTGCCCAAGACGCCCGAGATGGCCGGAATTCAACATTCAACCTAACGGCTACCTCCTCGCGATTCGTGAGGCCCATTTTCACATCGCAAATAGGCCTGGAAATGGATATCATAAAATCGGTGCGTGTATAGAAAGCTTGTACGAAGGAAGCCTAAGCGTTTTACATCTTACAGTCGCCGGTAATTAACCCGAATCTATCACAATGCCTACTACCTAGCTGAGATCCAGATCCAGAGAATCTCGTATGCAAGCACCCACGCCAAAGTATGCAACTGTCCGCAGGATTCGGAATTGGGCAGGGTAAGCCTATCCGGGTGTACCAAAAAAAATGTCATCCACAGGTTTTCCGTATCACCCGACCCCGAATCGAACGGGCCTGCTGCGTTCAATGAGTTCGGAGGCTCCTTAAGAAGAACAGCTGCAAACCATGTGCTGTCGGGTGGTTGCCTATCTTCTTGGGTGGTTGAATTTATCTAGGAGTTCCAAAAGCTGCTTGGGGTTGAACGTTCGTCCACGTCAATTTGATCCACACAAAATTAATCCGAGTCTATCACAATGCTAGCTGAGATCCAGATCCGGAGAATCTCGTGCGCTAGCACGCGCGCCACTTCTGCGGGATTCGGAATTGGGCTGGGTAAGCCTATGCGGGTGTACAAAAAAGAAATGATATCCAATACATGTATCCGTATCACCCGACCCCGAATCGAACGGACCTGCTGCGTTCAATGAGTTAGGAGCCTCCTGAAGAAGAACAGCTGCAAACCATGTGCTGTCGGGTGGTTGCCTACTTTATTGGATGGTTGAATTTATCCAGCAGCTCCGAAGCCGCTTGTAGTAGAACGTCGAACGTTGCTCCACGCCAATTTGACCCCTACAAAATCAATCGGAGTCTATCACAAGTCCTACCCTACTGCCAGATGAAATCAGGATCCGAAAAATATCGTACGCAAGCACGCACGCTACGGTCTGCGGGATTCGGAATCGGGCAGGGTAAGCCTATGCGGGTGTACAAAAAAGAGATGCCATGCATTACTTGCCCGTATCACCCGACCCCGAATCGAACGGGCCTACTATATACTGTGTTCACTTGGTGGGAACATCCTTTGTCAAGGTGAGCAGCCGCACACCATGTGGTTGAATTTATGCTGTAGTTCCGAAGCTGTTTGTGGTTGAACGTCGAACGTCGGTCCACGCCAATTTGATCCACACAAAATTAATCCGAGTCTATCACAATGCCAGCTGAAATCCAGATCCAGAGAATGCCGTACGCAAGAGCACGCCTAAGTACGCCACGGTCTGCGAGCCTATCCGGGTGTACCAAAAAGAAATGTCATGCACAGGGTTTTCCGTATCACCCGACCCCGGATCGAACGGGCCTCCTGCACTCATGGTGATGTTATTATCGCTACCTCAGATGCGCACACTCTGTGCTATCGGGTGGTTGCCTACTTTATTGCGTGGTTGAATCTAACCAGCAGGTTCGAAGCTGCTTGTAGTTGAACTTGCTCAATTGGCGTGGATTTAATTTACCCCCGGCAGACCATGTACAATATAGTCATGCTCGCAGTACAAGATATCGAAGGAAGGAAACTTCCTGAATCATAATATACGGCTTGGATCTTTACAGCAAACGCAAGATAAAGGAAGCAAGAAAAGAATAAAGGCAATCCCGCATCGAAGATAACCCGACCCTGAATGGAACGGGCCTCCTGCACTCATGGTGTATCTATTATCGACGGATAAGATGCGGCAGGGGCACACTATGTGCTACCGGGTGGCTGCCTACTTTATTGGGTGGTTGAATCAATCCAGCAGGTTCGAAGCTGCTTGAGCTTGTGGTTGAACGTTCGAATTCGTCCACACAAATTCAAAATGCACAATTTCGAGGTCTTCGTCTGGCCACGGAGCAGTGAAGGTAAGGAATAGAAAATAGGCCCTGCCTTGTGATGTGAGCGATCTGAGAAAAGGAAGGAGACCGCGAGAAAGGAAAGAAAGAAAAACACCAAGAAATGCATTCAGAATCACCCGACCCCAGATCGAACGGGCGTCCTGCACTCATGGTGATTTCATTGTCGCTACCTCAGATGCGGCAGGCGCACACTATGTGCTATCGGGTGGCTGCCTACTTTATTGGGGGGGTTGAACTTATGATGCACTTCCGAAACGTTCTTGAACTTCGATTGAAGATCAATTCAATTTACCCCCGGCAGGTAATTACAAAGTATTTGAAGATCCAAGAGGAGAGACCCCATCGTCCATAGCTATACGGCTTGGATCTTGGCAGCGAACGGAAGATAAAGGAACCAGCAAAAATCCAAATTCGCCCCCAAACAATCCCCCGACCCCGAATCGAGCGGGCCTCCTGCTTTAGGTATTCGTTCCGTCCTGTACAGATGAGCAGTTGCACACCATGTGCTATCGGGTGGTTGCATACTCTCTTGGGTGGTTGAATTTATGCAGCAGTCCCACTATGTAGGTACTGCGATGGTCGAAATTAAATTTTGCTCGCCGATTTCGGAGGGTCTGCTGCGAATGGTAGTCTGTGTAGAGTGACTAGGACTTTACCGTCACAGGCCAGAGCGCGAGGGAAAGTTGTACCTTGCGATCAGCGATCGGCTGAAGGTGAAAAGGGAGAGTCCAAACGGCTGGACACTTTAACAAATTGAAGAGCCCGAGACTGAGTCAAGGTCCCGGCATTCCGCAAGTCAACGTGCTCAATCGATTTGGGCAGGAGCGCGCTGTCAATGGGCGTTATGGGGCGGTTGAGTACCTTCGGGTTCGAGCATCATTAAAATTGTACTGCTCTGCTCGCAGATGGATTTATAAGTACGAGCCGTATTGATTGCGATCCGAGGATGTCTCCAATCCTGCTCTAAACCCGAAATGGTTGAGCCACTGACGATCATCTCCTTTCAGTTAATGAGAGCCCATCAGTGGCGGTTCAACCCCATGTTGACTCAACGTTCAAATTGAAGTCCATTAGGCTTAGCCTGGTTTAGCGCGTTGAAACATCCTGCGCATCATTTGTCGCAGTAACCGACTGCAGTGGTTCAGGAAAGAGTCAAACAAGTGTCTCGCTGAGTATTAACAAAGGAAGCGTGGGTTGAGTAGCCGCGTTTGATTGAACCAGGAAATAAAGGCTGAGCCGTCTTACGTGCTTGAACTATAATGTGTTGCCGATTGACTCACTAGCGATACAATCACAAAAAAGAAGAGAGAAAGAATGCCGGTGTCGCGCGTTGGAATCGCCCCGAACCGGACGAGGGCTCCCATCATTTGCTTCCAAAGGCGTGAGGCTCATGCTATCGTGCCCCCGGATTAAGTAGGTGTCCATATGGGGAAAAGACAAGAAACTGGACTATCAATACTCCAGGTCTTGAAGTCTGAGACAGACTGATAAGCTTGCTACATGGGCATGTAGTATAGGGGTTATTGCGCTTGCTTCGCACTTCGTTGTCCGACGGGTCGGGAACGTAATGCTTGGGTTCAATTCCCAATGCGTCCATCCTTTTTGCGCAGCTATAACTGCTCTGGAAGCCCTCGAGATCGAATTTTCTGATGATCATTGATGACGATCGCTATTTTCTGAATAACTCCATCCCGACTCTCGATCTTGCCTGGCGGACACCGTAGGCATCATCCCAACCGTTATCTCCAGCCCTGCCAATATTTTCATAATTTTAGGACAAGACGGACGGCGGGGGGAATGTTCAACATTGGTGATCGTTGTTCAACCAGCGATCAAATTGATTTGATGAATGATGGTTGGGTCTTATCGATGGCAGATTTTTGTGTCCTCCGCAATTCCAACGCAATTCGTCCTGGATTTACGGAGGAGGGACGATCGGCTGATGACTTGCCAACACACGCGAAGTGGTTACATATACTTACTCGGTTACAGTCCAATGCCCGATTCGCGCATTCTTTTCCGATGCTTTCAGTGGCATTCAGCATTTTCCGGACATGCGACAGTTCTTGGAAACTTCTGTTCAAAACACTATTTTGCTATCCCGCGCAAGAAGATCCGTGATGCATACCTCGTCAGTGGGGGAAAGCGCTTCCTTCCGCGTATATGTGATTGAATACTCCCGCTCTCATGTTTTGCCGCTGAGCAGAACATTTACGTCGGACACTGCTCAGTATCTTGGACTTGAAGGGAAACGAGTACACAATTTCCTAATTCTACATACAACGGCGTGCACACTGTGAACCTAATACATAATGTAACCCAGTGTTCGCATGCGAATTCACTTGGAGAACGAGCTCGCTGCGTGATTGCCAGCTTCCAACCCAGTATCCACCGACGCGAACGTATCCAGACCCAGTATGTCGGAATGTGGGTCCATCGTCAGCTTGTGTGTCTTCCGCAAATCGTCAGCTATCGTCCGAGGACAACTTCAAGTACCAGGAACTCACAGAAGGTCTTCTGAAAGCCACGAACCCGGCCGACCTTGTTTCCGCAGAGGCTGATGACTTGAAAATCCGCTCAGTGCCCCGAAGCCGTCAACGAATATATAACGCACAGTTAACCACGGAACGCTCTGTGAGGTCGATGCGTGTGTGCCCAACTCCATCATCCCTCCGTCATTTCCGACGCGTGCATTCAGGGTTGAGATAAGGGCATTGCTGTATAGTTTGGGGACAGCGAAGTCGAAGACGAAAGAACTAGGCGAAGTTTTCAGTCTCAGATAACACGTTGAGCCAATGGATGTTGGGGCGACTGACAGGGTGCTGTTCGGGAGTGTAACGAAGAGAACCACATCGAGAACGTTGAAGGCTACCGTCAATCCACCGGTCTGAATGGTTTCTGTAATGAAAGATGAGAACAATCAGGGAAATATACTAACACTCACTTCTGACGATGCGGTTTATTGTGTCATCCGTACACTTGACGCCAGATCTTTTCAATCTCTGTTGTCCGTTAGATTGACGGAAGCGATCCGCAAAGCAGGACACTTACCAAGCTCAAAACCAGCGAAATGGTTATCAGCAAGTCCGCTCCTAGGATATAAGATATGTGAGCTCGCAGTGTATCTCATGGCGCATGTAGAACCCACCCGTGAGAGTGCAAGAACAGATGAGAGCAGGAACGTCAACCTTGTCCTTGTGCACGTAATCTTTGACGTCGAGGACGACGATCGCGGTCCACGCAGCGGCCACTGAGTACATTTAGCGTTCGTCGAACCCGGTCGTCACGATCTAACTCACCCGCGGAGGTCAGAGATGCGAGGCAGATGACCACAGGAATAAAATGGTGTTGCATGATCACCGAAATGCGCCAGGCATAGAAGAATTGCACAGGAAGGGATACGGCTACCTGTATTGATGAATATGATTGAGCAGCTCGAGCGGGACAAATGAGTCTCACCTCAAGAAACGGTTCTGGATATGACATTTCAGTTTGTTTTGACAGCAAGTCGCACTGGCTGACCTACGAGACGGAAGCACTGGAAAAGATTGGATTAGAATCAAATATAAACCATTCACGAGCCTCACGCACAGGGGGGGAAGATAGTAACCGGTAAAGCAGTGTCTTCGGGGAATTTGAATGAGTTCGACGGGGAGGCGCAGGGCTTTACTTACCGAATTGTCCGATTAACGGAGCGTAGATCATGGCCACCAACATCCCGGTATTCACCGTCTCTACTACGAAGATATAGAGAATCTGGAGCGGCTCGTAAGTAGGCAAGGTCACGGCGAGACAACGTCTACTTACAAAGTAGCGGAGCCATGGCTTATCCCTGAAAAGAAAATCAGAAAATCAACAGCGGCGACTCTGGGCACAGACTTCTTGTAGCCCTGGTAGTAGGTGATCGTCTGAAACAGGTTATTATATGAACGTAGCAGATCCCGCGATAAACGAACCTGCTGCACGAGGATCTATCACCGATGAATGTATCAGCGAGAAATCAAGACCGCGGCGGCAAGCGGCTTACACCATACAAAAAAGTGTTCAGGAAAACACCAACGAAGTACGGTGATAACCTAGAACTCATAAGTCTCAGGGAAGTATATTGCCTGGACCACGTACAGCGCCTGGGGGGTGAGGGGTATGCCCATCGGATCGGGGGCCCTGTGTTGGCTGAGAGCAAGCTGAGGGAAAGGACGTTGCTCGTAGCTGGAGCTTATATAGAGAGTGGGAGTGGGCAGCGCAGCGGGAAGCTAGCGGGAAGGGATCACCATACAAGAAGCAAAGTTATGAATGGAATATTGCTCGAAGATGCTGATGCGGCGGGTTTCCATAGCATGCGGGGTATAAATAGACATGTACAGAAGCCTATGATCATTCTGGTGGGAGCGACGTCGACGTAGCGCCTTGCGCTCGTGGCTTGGTCGTGGTAGAATCAGAAGACGTGGCGCCGGCGGTTCACACCAGTGCCATGTCGCTACTACACATCAGTGATGCCTGTTCGGCATGTGCCTTCCGCGCGAACTTTAAACTCAGAAGAGAGCGATCAACTTTGCTCATTCATTCCTGGGAATTTCGGAGGATTTTTCAGTTACAGCCGAGACTTGACCCGGTATCGGAGATTTCTCCGCCAGGTTGTACAATTGTGTTGTAGTGGTATTGTGTTGTGAAATGGCAGGCTCACGGGGAAGTGGCCAGCTAAATATGAGTCCAAGCCGTACCGATTTTATGTAACGACGTATCATAACTGAATTTGCATGCGTAGCAGTGTTGCTGTTTTGTGGAGTTGCTAAAGGGAGTTTAAAAGGTACTCAAGATCAAGTCGTAATCAATGAACACAACTGGTCACACTCGGATCCGCGGAGGTTCGTACAGGTATCATAAGATGAAGGCGCAACTGCCGCCGCCCTTATAAGATATCGCGTCGTGGACTCGGAGCTCAGCCTGGAATATTAGCTAGAGGTTGAGAGCCACGAACATAACAAGTCGGGGACAGAAATAATGGAAGTGTTTGGAGCTCTGCATTCGGAGGACGTCGCTGAATTAATTGAATGGGACGTTGATTGATTTATCTTTCTCTTTCCACGTCGGTACCGGGTAGCACTGCCATGCAGCTCCACCGTATCATAATTTTACTCGGGGTTGAACAAGCAGCTGAGTTCTCAAACAGTACTCAAAGTTTACTAAGCATCACCTAGCATCCATGGATCAGTCAGCCGTTGTTGGTATTGGATTTGTTGTTGAAGGATAGAATGTGGGGCCCAGAATAATCCAAGAATAATCGTGATGTCTAACTGACGACGGAGTATTGGTGGTTCGGATTCTACCTTGCGAAGCATATTAGCAAACCTTTCATCATTATAACTTGGTTCCCGTATTATCTTGACGGCTGGCCTGGTTTTTTCTCTGTTCATTTGCGCCACTTTTTTCGTAGAGGCCGGCTGCCGAGCCGTTACGCATGTCTGCGGCATCCCAAATTCTTCCTAGCTCCAGATTCACGCAGCTTCATGACCGTGGGGCTCGGTTGCCAGAAGCGGGATTCGTTGACCGGGGTGGTACACTTTACTCTGTGCCCGGTCCGCCGCCATGGACGTTTAAACCTATAAAGAGTGAGGGACATGTCCAACTTCGATAGTTTCCAACCAGCCCATTACTTCAACCCATTCATTAAATCACCAAAATGGTCCGCCTGCTCACCTCCGCCATCGTTCTTCTGGCCGCTTTCATGACGGTCGATGCATGCAAGTGGTGCCAATGCCTGAACAGCGACGGCGGACACTGCTGCCTTTATACGGTAAGACCTGACAAGGCCCCTTTTCTTTCGACATGGAACTGAACTATACACTGCTCATCCAGACTGGATCGGGTGACACCGACTGTCAGAGCCTGTGTCAACAAGTGCACGACGCAAATGGCAACCTGTGCACCGCCGGCGACGTGTCGCTGAACTACAAGTGTGCGACGCTGCCCGAATGTAACGACCGTTCGCACTGCCGCGAATCTCACGCTTGCCTCACTTGAGCGCTACCCGAGATGGATGAAAGACCGCGGAGGGGACATGCAGGAAGGCAATGTAGTTCAAAAATATGCGTATGCGATTCATCCCGTTTGTAAATTCATCGAGCCAGTTTCACTTCTGGTCCCTTTCCGAATAGAACCATGGAAGCGATTTTTTTTGCTCAAACCGACAGGTAGCAGGAGGGTTTCAGAGCAGCTGAATTTGATGCTCGCGTCTGCCACTGGCTGAGACCCTCATCGTGCACGCAAATTTGGAGCCCGGCATGACGCAGCACCGGCAGCTTTTAATTACCACTGCCCAAATTTTATGCGTCTAATTTGTGGGCATAAAGGGAATCCAGTTTGGATCCAGCAAGGCTATTATGAAGAGACGCGACGCGTTTGATATCTCCATCAGACGACGGATCAATTCGGAACCGAAGTTCAAATGTTCAACCTTGTTTCAACCTTGTTTCAACCGGTTTTCCAACCTCTGTTCAGCGGCGGCCCAATTCTTCCACCAGAACTTCGAGCAGAAAAGTCTATTTCACTATGAGCATGAAATCCAAAATGCGGCTTTTACTAACAGCAGGCTGCAG